TGTAATTATTTCTAATTATAATATGTGTACTATAACATTACCCATAATTAGTTAATTAATTAATTAATTTGGAGATAGAGTCTTACTGTGTAGTCCTGGCTGACCTGGAACTCACAGTAAGGCCAGGTCAGAACTCACTGTATAGGCCAGGCTAGCCTCAAACCTGTGGATTTCTACCTGTTTCTGCTTCCTGAGTGGTGGGATAAAGATTTGTACCACCACACTGCACATTAAATTTTAATTATTATTTTGTGCTGCAGAGATGCCTTGGTGGTTAAGAGCACTTGTCACTCTTGTAGAGGACCCAGATTCAACTCCCAGAACCCTATATGATGGTTCACAGCTATCTGAAACTCCAGTACCAGAGAATCGGATCCCTTCTGTTCTCCTTGGGCACCAGAGACACACATGGTATACACACATGCAGGCAAACACCAATACCCATAAAAAGATCTTTAAAAAATTTTAAATTTAAGTTATTATTTTGTTTTATGTGTATAGGTGTTTATGTCAAATATATATCTGTGCACCATATACATGAAGTGCCCTCAGAGGCCAGAAGAGGGCATAGGATCCCCTGGAACTGGAGTTACAGATAGTTGTGAGCCATTGTGTGAGTGCTAGGAATTGAACCTGGGTTCTCTGGAAGGGCAGCAAGTGTTCTTAGAGTTTTTGAGTGTTTATGATGCTTAAAAAGTTTCAGGCCAGATATGGTGGAGCATCCCTTTAATCCCAGTGTAGGTAGAGACAGGCAAATCTCTGTGAAGTTGAGGCCAGTCTAGTCTACATAGCCAAGTTCCAGGGCAGCCAGGGATATATAGAGAGATCCTATCTCTAAAAATAGATAGATAGGTAGATAGGTAGATAGGTAGATAGATAGATAGATAGATAGATAGATAGATAGATAGATAGATACATAGATACATAGATACATAGATACATAGATAGACAGACAGAGTTTCAGATTTTCCAATTAGGGATACTTCCCTTATAAAGTCTACTTAAATTTTCCAAATTCTGAAAAAGTCTGAAGTCTCAAATAGTTGTAGTCTCAAATACTTCCAAAGAAAATAACATAAAAAATCAAGACCAAGCTGGGCATAGTGGCATATGCCTATAGTGCCAACATTTGAAGTTGAGGTGGAAGGATCATTTGAGTCCAAAAGTTTAAGACCAGCCTGGACAACGTAGGCTAGATTATAAAACATGTAACAAAAAATCCAAGAGCAGTAGATGCCACATTCCCTACTGTCTAACGGCTTTAAGAGTCCAACCACCTTTGGTTTGTTTTGATCCTATTATATAGATGAGCTGAACTTAAACTTGCAATCCTCCTGCCTCTGTTCCCTCACTCTGTAGACCAGGCTGGCCTCGAACTCAAAGATCCTCCTGCCTCTGTCTCCCAAGTGCTGGGATTAAAGATGTGCACACACCTAATCATCTCTTAATGGTGGCAATATCCAACTTTTATTTTATTATTTTATGAAATCCTCTATTAAAATGTACTTTTATTTAGATTTTCTTTTTTAGGTTATTTTATGTATATGAGTATTTTTGCATGTATGTATGTACGCTTGGTGCCCAGGGAGGTCAGACGAAGACACTGGATCTCCTGGAACTGGAGTTATGGATGGTTTTGAGCCACCATGTAGGTGCCGGGAGCACCTCTAGTGGCCATGCTGACTTCCTCCTACCTTTAGCCTTTCTCCAACTTTCCCAGCTCTGAGCTGCTCTTCTTGGGTTATCTGTAGTGCTACCTCGTCTACCTCGTCTCTTTAGAGAGAAAGAGTGGTCTCAGGATCCTAAGTGCAACCAGAAATCAGGGTTTTTTCCTTTGTGGTTCAGCCTTTGTGTTTCCTGGCAGATGTCTGCAGAAAGCTACCTGTGTGACAGAAGTCCTGCTTTCTTGTAGGATGTAGTTCCCTCTAGTCCATGTCAGGAGACCACAGGACATGAGCAGTACCTATATGCCTGCATACTGTGGCACATTTGTCTACCAGGAAATTATAGGATTGGTAAATTAGTGGGGGATATATATCATCAGGACTGGTTCCTTTAAGTACATGCATTTAATTTTTACAATTTCTTGAGAGCACCTCAGAGGTGCTCCTCCTCTTTTTCTTCTTCTTCTTCTCCTCCTCCTTCTCCACCCCCCCCCCCCATGTGACTCACTCCTTGGGCTACTTCTGTCAGTTCTCAGATGGGTACTTTCAGGGAATTTTCCATAGCAACTAGAAGCTGAAAAACCTGCCTGGCCAGCTTAGCAGTATCACGTCTGGGAGGCTTAAGGAAGGCCTGAAGACGTATACGTATCCATATATACAACATACATGGAAATGGCACAATCCACACATGCATTCAAAATGCAGAGCTGACACCCGCAGCCTGTTAAAACGCATCCACAACCTGACCACTTCTCAGTGCTTTCACCCAGGCAAAGCCCACATCATCTCCTACCCTGGGCCGTCTGCTCCTGCCTGAAGTCCCCATAGACCTCTGGGCATCTGGAGAGCTTATCCAACCCAGATTTTTCTTCATGGCTGCTCAGAACCTCCTGATCTCTCGCTCTGAGAATGAAGGTCAGAGGCCTGTTGTCAGGATGAGGTGCCCTTGGCGCCTGCTGTTGCTCCCTGTCACTCCGATCCCCTCACTGCACCCCAGGCTCTGAGCTTATTGGCCGCTCCCTGCACCTAGATCTCTCTCTCAGTGAAGTCCAGGCCTGGACCCCTTGCTTCCCTTGGACTCTTGCTCAGCTCTCACAGCCTCTTTTGATGTGACACAGACAGCCCCTCTCTTCGGAGACTCACAATCCCATCTGGTTTTGTCTCATGTCTGATTGTCAGCTACACCGCAACAGCCTGACCTTGTTCACTGTTGGGCTGCCTGGCTCAGGGCTCAGTCGTTTGCTGAGTGGCAAGTGAGTAGGAGGCTGCTGAGAAGGGAGCTCTGATTGAGAATTGTCTTCCGGCCCCTCTGCCCTCCAGTGCAGATACCATTTCCTCCACTTTAAACAACCGGTTTTCCTCCATGCTTTTGCTCTGCCCTATTTTCTCCTCTTCCTCCTCCTCCTACTTTTCAGACAGGGTCTTACTGTGTAGCTGTGGCTGGCCTGGACCCCGCTATATCGACCAGGGTGGCTTCAAACTCATAGAAGTCTATTTGCCTCTGCCTCCTGGGATTTGTACCATGCCCAGATGCTCGGTTCATCCTCAAGAAACAACCCGATCACCTCCTTCATGGTTATGTGTTGTCTTAGGGTCTCATCTGGGCATACATTGCATCAAACCATTTGACATTGGTTTTGTAGCTATCATACATGAAGACCAGCAATTTCATATGGCTTAATAGTTTTTAATGTACTACAGGCTGGACCCGAGGCTCAGATATCAACAGTCATTTTCTAGAAGTTACTAGGATCCCCAGTTTCCTGGTGCTAAGTCAGATGGTGTGCTTGAGGGCCTCATTTGCATTGCCTTAGTTAATCTTCTTGGTCTTTGTAAAGTGTAAGTGGTCGTGTCCATCTTATGGGTAAGAAAACTGAGATTCAGAGAAGTGAAATATACTTCCCTAAGGCCTGAACAAGCGGAGACTGGCAGAACTGATGTTAGAATCCAAATCTCCAGAAGACAACCCTTCCTCCCTTACCCAGAGAGATATCCTCCTTCTCTCTCTTTTGTTTTTCATTTTGGTTGGTTTTTGTTTGTTTGTTTTTGTTTTTGTTTGTTTGTTTTGAGACAGGGTTTCTCTGTATAACAGCTCTGGCTGTCCTGGGACTCGCACTGTAGCCCAGGCTGGCCTCCAACTCAAGAGATCCACCTGCCCCTGCCTCCCGAGTGCTGGGATTAAAGG